CCCACTTTGGGCTCTGTGCTGACAGCTCAGAGCCTGGAGCCTATTTCGGATTCTGTGTCTCCCTCTCTCTCTCAAAAATAACTAAACATTTTAAAACATTGTTAAGATGGTTAAGAGAAAGAAAGCAAGAGTTCTGGTTGCACCACATCGCTGATGCAAGGAGCTCGGAGATTCAGATTTCAAATAGAAGCAATGTAGAATCAAATGTCAGCTCTGCTGATAAAGGAAGGAATTAAAATAAGGGGCAAGCAACAAAGTAGGCAAAATGAGCCCATTAGATGTGAGCTGGGGGCCTCCCTGCTCCTCAAGAACCAGGCATAAATAGCTCAGTCTCCTGCCAAGGCCTTGGTGCGTGGCAGCCTCAGGCCCTACCCAAAGCCCCCACACTTTTGAGGACATCCCACAGCCTCCACGTCCAGGCTCCTGTTCCCGTGTGCATAGCACAGATGTGAACCCCACACCTCTCTGAGCCTCACAAAAAGCCACAAACTCAAAGTAATTTGAGCACTCTGGGGTCTGGGGGTTGGCGATGTGAAAGGAGGGGTTTCCACTGCCAAGATGCCATGAACGTCAGGGACACTGTAGGCATCACCTGCTAAGGACCGGTGCAGGCTGTCCGAGTTGGCCGCCCCACCACCAAGCTTCACTGGCACCGTTGCTTTCCAAACCCACCCCCATTTCCTGCCTTCCTCAGCATTCCCCACTCTCCCAAAAAAAGTCAATGCCTTCATGGGAGTCTCCAAACACCTTATTTCCTCTGTGGGCCTTCAGCACCGGGTCATGTAGGCCCCCAGTGGTTCATCTCTGTGCCAGACCATCAGCAGAATGGTCCAATCAGCATTACTTCTCCACCTATGTGGAATTCTCATGTCCACTGCTAGGATAACACAGAGCTATCCATGGTGTCACTGGGTTGCTGAGAAATTCAGCTCGTTGTCCGGGGTTGGGGGAGAGGATTCGCATTTCGATCCAGGTCTTACATCAAAGCAGCAGAATAAGTTTTGGACAGAGTTAGATGCAAAAGTAATCCATAGAAGGCAACATTTAATTTAAGCTCTTGAGACTAAAAGTAATGGGAGAAATAATAAAAATGGAAATTGACAGGCTCAACTACATGAAAATATAAAATTCCTAAATAAATAATCGAAGTTTGAAGGCCTTGGAACAAATCTGTGTCGAACATGGCTGGTTTCGACCTCTTCTGTCCACAGCTCAGACAACCAATAAAAACAACAGCAACGCCTTTAATATAAGCGAAAGCGCTGATTCTCCCTGACAGTTTTCTCTGCACATGAAATAGAAACAGTTTTCTCTGCACATGAAATAGAAACAAAGTGTTTTTTCCAGTCACTTTTAAAAGAACACACAATAAGACATCAAATGTGATTTATGGTCTATACAATTGTCAAAAGATTTCAATGACAATCCTCAATGCTGACAAATTGCGGTGACATGGAGAGAATAAAAACTTTTTACGGAATATTATGTCCCAACAAATCTTCTGGAAAGCAATTTTGGCAATAACGATGAACAGCCTTAAAGTGTTCATTTGGGTCAATCCTTCTAGACTCTATCCTAGGTACACACACTGAAATATTGCAATACGTACCTAGTGTTTTCTCAGTTTCACTTATAAGTATGAAAATCTGGCAATAATTTGGCTAACAGCATTGGAAAGTCTAAATAAATTGATATATCGATATAATGAAACATCATGCAGGTACAAACAATTACGCTTTGGTGGATATAAATGACAATTAGTCAACATTAATTTAAAAAGCAATGTTAAAAACATTCTATATGCGTTAAGATATATACTATAAATAAGCATGCATATATATATTCATAATATTTTTGGTAAAAGACTGGAAATATGCTGAGTCAATTGGATATCCTCCTGGGAAAACACACACCATAAAACAATCACTCCCAGATTTATTATAGATTTAAATGTTGAAGGAAAAACAGTGAACGATGTAGAAAAAAAAAACAGAGCATCCTTATGAATATGAAGTAGGTAGAATTCTCTTTTTTTTTTTTTTGAAGTAGGTAGAATTCTTAAGCAGAACATAAAAGTGCTGAACTGTAAAGAAGAAAGTATTAGCATAATGTTTTAATATCTTGAGGAGTAGAAACGCAAGCCACAGAGCAGGGGAGATTTGCTGCACATGCGTCTGAAAGGGATTTATAACTGGAATTATAAAGAACTCCTACAAATCAGTACAAAAAAGAAAATGAGTAGCCTACTGGGGAAACAGGTAAAAGATATGAATGGGCACCTCACAAATGAAACTATCCACACAGCCGCTACACGGGGAAGAAAATACAGCGTTGGCCACGCTGTGGACAGAGCGACTCGCTCGCTCCTACGCTGCCCGTGAGAGCGTAACTCCCTACAACCACTTGGGAAAAGTGGATCGGCTAAGGTTGGACACAGATGTCAATAAAAGGAACACGGGTAAATACAGTGCGCTCTGCTCACACACAAGAGAACGCCGTAGAGCAGCGACAAGGAGCAGCTATGTGCAGTGGGGTGGGGGGTCTCAGAAACACGATGTGGAGTGCAAACATCCGGTTCCAAAAAAGAGGCATACTGTGTGATTCCATTTACGTCAAGTTCGAAGAGGAAAACAATTTCCGTGGTGCTGTCACCCCGGAGGCGAGGGGGGGGGACCAGGAGGGGCCCAGGAAGTGCTTCTCGCTGTGGCCAAAGCTGTTTATTTGGGTAGCGGGTTGCATGGATGTGTACAATCTGTGAAAATGTGGCAGGCTGCACTGTTATTAGGACTTGTATACTTTTTGTATCTCTATTTTGCTTAAAGGTTTGTTTAGGACCGTGAGAAATAATCCCTGAAAAGGACACAGGTCGTTCCGATCTCTGGACGGTGGGGTTCCTTGCTTTCTTCTTTGTGTTTGTTTTCTGAAACGAGCATGTGTTACTTGTAAAACAACTGTTCTGCTTTGGGTTTTGCTTGTTTTGAGGACAGCCTGCCTGCCTTCAGCAGAACGAGCCCTGCGATGTATCACACCTGCTGGGCAAGGGTGCCCCGGGCGGAACGGAGGGCACACGACGGGGTTCCGGCTCTCAGGGCAAGGCCCACTGGTGACACAGCCCCTCGTATTGCTGAAGCCGGAACTGAAACGCAGGCACATTTTCGGGAGCTCAGGGGGTGTCCCTGCCCTCCGCTGGAACTGCTCCGTCCCGGCTCCCCAGCCCGTGCAGTCCGGCCTCTGGCCACATGGGGACCATCGAAGGCACGCCAGTCCAGAAAGCCAAGAGTGAATCCCAAACTGTCCTTCATGGACCGGAGCGTCAAGGAGGAGAAAGGTTGTAAACCCACTCCGAGTGCAGCTCTTTCAAGGGGAGAGAGAACCGGTGTCAGAAGATGCCGATGCGTTGACGTTCTGATGCTCCAGCCAACAGCACGTCTTACCTGACACGCCCTGTCGTCCACATCCTTTTGGTTTCAAATATCAGACCACCTGACTCGCACTGGGTTACGTGGCAAAGACAGAAAAAATTCGGAGGTGGGCTCGGTATCCAGGCGTACTTTCATCTGGACCCTGACTCAGACTTGCCCACCTCTCTCTGTTGGCCACCCCTCCCCCATGATGGCAAGATGGCGGCAGCAGCCGCCAAATCCACCTGCTTCCTCATTCAATTCTGACCAAGGCCTGAGCTTTGATCTGATGGAACGCTCCTGAACCAACCCCAGTGACCGGGAGAATGGCATGCTCTGAGGTCGTGATTTACCTGACGTGTCCACTCTGCCAGGGACACTTGGTATCCTGTGCCGAGGGTGGGGTCACCACCACCCACGCTGCTAAACGGGGAAGGAGGGGGTGGGGAGGCAATCCTGAGTTCCATTCCATGTGCTCCATGTGCAAAATGGTTGTCCGACCTTAGGTTTCTTAGGTGCAAATTTGGAGTTCATCACTTTATTTATTTATTTATTTTTTATTTTTTTTTTCAACGTTTACTTATTTTTTGGGACAGAGAGAGACAGAGCATGAACGGGGGAGGGGCAGAGAGAGAGGGAGACACAGAATCGGAAACAGGCTCCAGGCTCTGAGCCATCAGCCCAGAGCCCGACGCGGGGCTCGAACCCACGGACCGCGAGATCGTGACCTGGCTGAAGTCGGATGCTTAACCGACTGCGCCACCCAGGCGCCCCGGAGTTCATCACTTTAAAAGGACGGAGAAGGGGGGACTGCTGGGTGGCTGGGTCGGTTAAGCCTCCAACTCTTGGTTTCAGCTCAGGTCATGGTCTCATGGTTCATGAGTTCAAGCCCCGCATCGGGCTCTGTGCTGACAGTGAGGAGCCTCCTTGGGATTCTCTCTCTCTCTCTGTCTCTCTCTCTCTGCCTCTCCCGTGTGCTCTCTCTCTATCTCAATATAAATAAATAAACTTAAAGACAAAAAAGGAGAGGAAGACCACAATAAGATCTATTCTCCTGGAATAGAAACATAAAAAGGATAGACCGTGTGACCTTGAGATACTCCAGGGGGCTCCTTTCTGGGGGCGGGAGGTGGGGAGGGAGGGTCTAGCCTCTCCGACATGCACATGCGGGGAAAACCCTAGAGGCTGAAGCAGTAGTGTGGGATCATGAGTGCCTCTGGCTGGGCTGGGGGGTGGCAGACACCCTGTCCTGCCTTCCTCCGAGGTCTGGAGGACACTGGTGCCTCCAGCGTGATCCAACCTGGCATTGTCACCTGACCCAGAGGATAGGGAGGCCGGGGGAGTCACGAAGCTCCTCTCCACCCACTTTGACACCCTCTCCAAATTGCGTCCCGTTTTCCTTTATGTCAGTCTGTGAAAGGCAGGTCTGAGCCAGCGTGGCCTGGGAAAGGAAGGAAAGGAAACGCTCTGCTTCGGGAAGGGCCACTTTACGCAGCCTGCTTCTGATTGTCTTTTCCTCCGAGTGACCTCTTCTTTTAAAAGCACTGGCCTTTTCCGAGGCCTGGGAAAAATAGCCAAGAAAAGCTGAGGACCGCCTTCTTTTAGGGCCAACCTTTCCTTCCTTTCATGTGGTAAAGAAGCCCCCTTTGAGGGCTGCGCTGTGTAAGCCTCTTAATTGCAGGGCTAATATGAACCAGAGCAGAATGATCCATCCAAGAATCTTTGTTTGGATTCGTGACCGTTTTCAAAGGGGACTCGGGGTCCCTCCCTTATCTGGTCTCCTATCAGCTGAATGACGTAAGTGTTTACAAAGGGCTCAGCAGAAGAGATAACACATTATCACCCCTCCCAGCCTCAGGGGGGAGGGAGGTTTACTCTAAAGATTATCAAGTCTTAACTCCCAAAGGGTGAAGAAACCCAGGCTTCTAGGAAGCTGCTTCTGCCCTGTTCATGGCCCAGCCCAGCCAGGTGTCCCAGGGAAGGTCAGAAGGGGGTCCCACAGCACCGTGGCCAGAAGCGTGAGCCAAAAGGGGTGAGCAAGACCGGTTCTTGTTTCAGAAAGGACCTGGATCCCGGTGTAGACGACGTGCTAAGGGGATGGGAATCTTCCTGCCGGAGCTGACAAGACTACACAGAGGTTATCAACCGTCCCTGTTATGAGCGAGCTGGGATTCCCCTTCAGGCTGAGAGCGGTGGTTGGCCGACAGATGTGGGTGACAACTTACAGGTCGCGCCCTGTTTTTTGACCCAGGACCACGCTGATCTTGGGGCGCTCCCACCAGGACTAGGCAAGGGTGCGGTACGAGGTCCTGGTCGTTTCCATGCAGCACAGGACTCCTTGAAGGAGCAGGCCTGTTCCGGAGCTCAGTGTTGGGCAGGCAGGGAAGATGTCAGCTCTGCACTGTGAACCTGCTCCTGCTTCTTCCCTTTTCCTCTCAAAGCCATTTTCCGTCCTCACTCTGTCTCCGTGCTTGCTTCCCAGAGGGTCCACATCATGCTTCTATTCACCTGTCCGTGAGGGACTGTCTTGTGACCCCTCGCATTTGAGGACGGAGCTCCACAGCGGGGTGGGGCCTCAAGGACCTTTTAAAGAACAGCAGGGATGATTTGGACAGTTGAGGAAAAAAGAATTTCCTGGAATCTGGCCCTAGATTCTTTTCCACCATCTGAATTCATTGGCCAAGGGCGGGGTGAGGGATACTAGCTGATTGAAGAAGACAGCTTCCCAAGGATGTTCCCCAAGGGAGGGATCCTGTCAGATTCAGAGCAGCACACTGTGTGTGTGATGAGCCTTGCCGTGCACACTTGGGTGGAGATATGTCCGGGGCTTTCACAGCACAGGCGTGCCAGAGTAGGCTGGACTCTAGACTGTGTCCTCACCAGACAACACTTGGAAAGGTGAACACTATACTCCTCAGGGCGCCTGGGTGGCTCAGTCAGTTAAGCATCGACCTCTTGATATCGGCTCAGATCATGATCTCAGGGTTTGTCAGTTCAAGCCCCACATTGGGCTCTGTGCTGACGGTGTGGAACCTGCTTGGGATTCTCTCTCTCTCCCTCTCTCTCTGCCCCTCGCCTGCTCTCTCTCTCTTTTTCTCTCTCAAAATAAATAAGTACACACTAAAACTTTTTTTAAAAATACTTCTCATCACCCGGTTGTGTCCGATCTGGCCCCCAATGTCACCAAAATGTCCTCTCTCCAGGACCCGGAGTCAGGAAGCGTCCAGCTGCCCCTGGCACTGCATCTGAGGAGGCATTTTGCACCTGTCTCTGGAGGACGCCCCAGCCCCTGCCGTCCTGGCCCATGGCACACTCCATGGCATTCTGCCCTCACCTTTGTGCAAGAGCTTTTTCCTGGAGAGTAGCCTGCAAACGTTCTAAGGCTGCCATTTCCTCCAAGATACACCCTAGTGGCTTCTTTGTTCCTTGATGTACAGCAGAAGATAGGTTTAAGTGATGTTTGGAGAATTTGGTAATTAAAAGAATATGTTATGCGGAGAGAGTTTTTCAGTTGAAATTTAATACATAAGTGCATTCAAACCAGGTTTCCCTGACCATAACCCAACGGTAAAATCTAGAGTGCTGACACCACGCTAAGCCCAAACTCCACATTTCTTGAACTTGAGCCCAGGGAAGAGAACGTATAACTGTCTGTCCACTGACATTTTTGCAGGGCATCAGGGGCTGTCCACAGTCTGGCACATCACTCTGTGAAAATATGTCTCTGAACCAAACCATGATGGCTTTGTTTTATTTTTACAGTGGGTGGGTTGCAGAAAGCCAGGAGGAAATTCTGTTTTCTAGCCTGCTTATTTTACTTGGACAGGGAAAATGCCTCCCTAACGGGTGTCCTTGAAAGCAATCAAAGCCAAGAAAAAGCATTGCCAAGGTTCAAAGGGTAAATATTCCAAAAAGTAATATTTAGCAAATTATTTTCAGGAACAATGCCGACTACCACCACAATTATTTATTAAGGTTTGGAAGTCTTGGTCATTGTAACATTATAATAACATCGGAAACAGAATAAAATGAATGCATATGGTAAGGGGAGAACAATTCTCTTCACAAAGAGTAGCCGTTAGGAATATACTATCGTTTAAAAACAGTTTGGCTAAGTAACTTTAAAGGACAAATGTGTAAAAACTAATAGTATCTCAGTAAAGATCTCACTTGCCATAGTGTTAAAAAATTATATAATAGAAATGATTTTGAGAAAATAGACAACATGTAAATAAAACCTCAACGTTCCATCAGAAGTCATAAAAGACAATCAATTTGAGAACCGAAACGTATTTCTAGATGTAAGAATGAATAATTCAAACAGATTCTTTATGGATTTGGCAAAAAGTTGGCTTGGACTTTCAGAAGACTGTCTGAAATATAAGACTAATGGGGAAAATGTTTACAGTTCCAGCAGATATTAAAATATATTTTAATAGAAACATTAATTAAAACATTATAATATTGGCTTAAAAACCAAGAGAGAGATGGATGGAATATCGTACATATGCCTTGAGGTAAATGAAGGCAATCGTATATAGAAATTCAGCCAGGAATATATGGAATTTTTGATGATCTAGCAGCCATGTTTAAGAAAAGTAAAAGGAAATAAGTATAAAACTAATTTTAATAATATATTTTATTTAACCCTGTATATCAGAAGTATTTTAATATGCAACCAATCTAAAGAAATGTTATTAACAAGATTGTTTATGTTCTTCTTGGGTACTAAGCGTTTGAAATTTGGACTCTCCACATGTCGAGTGTTTGATAGCCACGCATGGAGAGTGGTTATCCATCATTACAGCATAGATCGTGGGGAAGGGGATTTTATACATTATGAACAAGAATCAGAAAAACAACAGAGAAGGAAAATAAATATTTAATGAAGAGTATGAGGTCCTGGTAATGGTTTGTAAAATCTAGATATCCATAAACATAGAATCACACTATAGGCCTTCTGATGCAATAAATTTTAGAAGAAGTAGATTATAAACAATCTTAGAAACCAAGAAACAGATAAGCCGACAGTGAGTTGAACCGAGTTATGACTTGGGTGGATCTGGGTGGGAGGCCCACTAGTTCCAGGACAACATGGCCTGCAGAGGAAGGGAAGAAGGCAGAAGGTGACAGACACAATGGAGACAGTTGACCTGTTCACTAAGGCAAGTCCTGGGGACGGAAGCCAGGAGTCCAACAACCAAAAGGCAGAGAGAAAATTTCCAGAGTGATTCAGATAACTCTCAGGACCTGGCAGTCCTGGTGGGCGAGGCTATGTAGCAGAAGTTTCCGGGCCCTGAACCAATTTGAAGTCCAGAAGGGTGTTGCCTGGTGTTGGGTAATCTATCCGCAGTGGACAGCACCCCACCCGTGGAAGCCCCACCAGAAAGAATGGAGCTTGTCCTGGGGAGGAGGGCTTGTGGAATCAGCATGCCTCAAGAACTGCCAGGGTTTCAGATGACTTCAATCCTAGAGGGACAGGAGGACACCCTCAAGACCACAAACATACCGTTAAGTGAGAGAACAAGGCAGAAGGTAAATGCCTTGGACAGATAGCCATGGGAGTGGAGGATGCTGTAATGTGCTGAATTGTGTTCCCCACATTTATGTGCTGAAATCCTAATCCCCAGTACCTCTGAATATGACTACATTTGGAGATAGGGTCTTTAAACATGTAATTAAATTAACGTTAGGTCATTAGGATGGGCTCTAATCCAATAGGACAGATGTTCTTATAAGAAGAGGAAGTTAGGACACAGAAACTGAGAGAGACAGCCATGTATGTGAAGACTCCGGGAGAAGAGGGCCATCCCCAAGCCAAGGAGAGAGGCTTCAGAAGAAACCAGCCTAGAGGAAACCTTGATCTTGGACCTCCAGCCTCCAGAATAGTGCAAAAATGGATTTCTGTTGTTGAAACCACCCAGTCTGTGTCACTCAACTGTGGCGGCTCCAGCACACTAATATAGATGCAGAAACTAAAGACTGCACCAGTGAGAGCCCCCAACCCCAGGCCTGGTGAGCAGAAAAGGAGGATCCGTGGGATCAGCACACAGGAGCCTCACTTCTGTGTCTTGGGCAAGCCACGCCTCCTCCTGAGGACTGAGAACAAATGTTTAACCTGGTTAGAAGACTTGACACAGGACACAAAAGAGGACCCTAAGCTAGGGTGGTTAGATGAAACACAGGATGCTTAGTTAAATTTGAATTTCAAACAAGCAACAAAATTTTTTAGTGCCTGGCTTAAATTTTGCATGGGGCATGCTCATTCCAAAAATTATTTGTTGTTTCTCTGAAATCCAAATTCACCTGGCCATCTTATATTTTAACTTCCTAATCAGGCATTCCCATTCAAGGATAAGGGAAGGGCCAGCATATGTAGCAGGAAATGCAAAGGAAAGCAGGAAGGGAGGACCTGAGATGAAGCAGGCTGGCCATCAGGGAACACTCACCAAGGCTCACCAGGGCAAGGGAATGTCCAAAGACCAAAGCCAATGGATGGGATTGCAAAGAAATGTCCAACACGTTTAACTATATCAATGCTTCATAACTAAAATGAAAAGAGATAAGGAAAAATAATAGGCTGGGCAAACCATTCCTATGATATGAAAGGTTTGGTATGGAAATAAATAAATACCAATATCTCAGTAGGCAAACAGGTCAAGGACATGATCGAATGATTTGTACAAAAAGATCTACAGCTTTCAAACAAGTTTGCAGAAGTATTGCCTTTTTAATGATTTCTACAGCCAAGTTTCTAAGAAATTAAGGATCAATTGTCATCTTTTTAAACAGGAACTTAAACAAATAGTAACTAAGATACTCAGTGAGAATGAGAATGGGGTGTAGCCGACAATGCCCTTTCTGGTGGTGGACAATGTGTTTAGCAACATGCTCACGCTGGCTGACCCAACACAACCATTCCTGATTTTATCCCAAGGGTAATAATTTAAAATAAAGAAGGAAAAAATGATAAAACATGGTGCATTATTTCGTTATCATAACTGTAAAGTAATAAATATGCTTGAACAATAACTGGAAGGAAACATGGGGGAGAAAAGCATTTGATGTGAGTATAGCTTTATCTTTAAAATTTCCTCTTGGGTCATGAGTACACTCTTTTATAATGACACGTTTTAATGTGAGAAGCAGATCCTCTGTTGCGAGCAAGGACTATTGGCGAAGGTGCGCCCTGCAAGGATTCCGGGAGGGGTGGGGGGTGGAGGGTCCACCTCTGGATCTGCTCAGGGAACACCTCCAGGAAACTTCCTTTATTTGTCTGCATCTGCAGGGCCATTTCTGGCCATCCAGGTCTTTGAAACAGCTCCTCACAAGCTCTAAGTGTTTTCCTCGGGCCAAAGGTTCAATGGACTGTTGGCCATTCTCAACAAACGTTTCCATTGAATGAGACTCATTATTCTGCCATCTATTTCTTCACTGGAATATTAATGCCCTTCATCAGTCTTCACTCTGTCTTCTCCCAACCAAAAGCCCAACTCCAAGTAGTTACTGTGCTGCCCATCTTTGTGTATGGTCTGCAGTAATAAATCTTTGCTGTCATTACCCTGTTTTCCAACATCCCAGAGAAGGGAGAGTGGTCTGCTGGCTTATCCCCCCAAGTGCCTGGGCTTTGGTTCTGGAATAGACGGTCATTGGAGCTAACAGGAAAAAGACACTGCGTTATTGGTTGGTTAAGTGCATGTTCTTACTACTTGGGGAGGGGAGGGGGGTGCTTCTTTAAAAACAAAGAATTCACATTAACATCAAAGCATGTTGGACTCTCCTGAGGTTCATGCAGCTTTTCTCACTGCAAATGAGCCAACAAGAGACCGCTCGTGTGTTAATCTGCCCCAGGCTGCCATAAGGAAACACCTCAGACCCGGGCCGGGAGGAGGGGGTGGCTTAAACAGCAGAGATTTATTGTCTCACAGCTCAGGAGGGCTCAAGTCTGAGATCAAGGTGTCGGCCGGGTGCGTTCCTCTGAGGCCTCTCTGCATGACTTATAGATGGCCGTCCTCTCCCCACACCCTCACCCGGTCACCTCTGTGTCTGTGTCTTAATCTCGTCTCCCCATAAAGACATTACTCATCTTGGATTGGGGCTTACCCTAATGGCCTCATTTGAACTTAATTACCTCTTTAAAGACCCTTTCTGCACATATAGTCCCTGTCTGAGGTTCTGCACATACAGTCCTGTCTGGGGTCAGGGCTTCCACCTGTGAATTGGGGTGGGGGTCCACAGCTCAGCTCAAACAACTCATGAGATCATGAGCCTTCTCATGACCTTCTCTCTGCACAAGAGTTAAAGAGATGAGCCATGAAGCCTACACTAACCACTGAGACCAATGTGCTAGAAGAGCCTCTTTGACCTGCCTGTGGCGAGTGACGAGGACTTGAGGGTGACACACATTTCTCCTTGACATTCCTGAGATGGTTGTCTCGATCCTGCAATTGCCTCTTAGGAGAGGAACCTCTTGCACACAGGTGTCTGTGAGAGCCCCG